GTGATCGGAATGAGTTTTGGAGGTTTGGAGTAGATTTAGGCTTGAATTGGCGAAGTTGATATTTTGGCGATTTTCGGTTGGTAGGTGAGATTTTGATATATGGGTCGGAATGGAATTCCGAGAGTTGCAGTAGTTTTGTTGTATTATTTGGGAGGTGTGTGCAAAATTTCAGGTCATTCGGACGTGGTTTGGTTGGGTTTTTTATCAAAAGTATAATTCGGAAGATTTTGAAAACTTAAGCTTGAATCCGATGTGTTTTGGTTGATTCAATGTTGTTTGAGGTGTTTTAAAGATTGGTATAAGTTTGAATAAGGTTATGGGATATGTTTGTGCTTTTGGTTGAGGTCCCTGGGGCCTCGGGGTGATTTCGGATGGTTGACGGCAAAGTTTGAAATTTTGGTGAGCTGCAGTTTTTTGCTGCTTCTGGTATTTCTGCACCTACGGATTGGGGACCGCAGGTGCGATGTCACAGATGCGTGGATGGGAACCGCAGAAGCGGAATGGAGCTAGGGAGGTAGAAACCGCAGAAGCATTTAGTGGACCGCACCTGCGATGGCGCAGGTGCGGCTGGTGCATCGCAGATGCGGAACATGACAGAATAAGTGAAAACCGCAGAAGCGGTTCTTTGGCCGCAAATGCTGTACCGCAAAAGCGGTTCTTTGGCCGCAAATGCTGTACCGCAAAAGCGGTTCTTTGGACGCAAATGCGGTACCGCAAAAGCGGTTCTTTGGCCGCAAATGCATTACCATAGAAGCGGGTATATGGCCGGAGATGAGAAAATGTCTGGGCCAGAAGGTATAAATTGTTCCTTCGCGATTTTTGAGCTATTTCACTATTTCTAAGTCGGCTTTGGAGCTTTTTGGACGATTTTTAAGAGGGATTTCAAGGGAACTTCATTGAGGTAAGGATTTTGGACCTAAAACTCGTTCCTATGGCATTATTTCACGAATTAGAGCTATAATTAATGGAATTTAAAGGTTAAAATTGGGGAAACTAAGGTTTGATATTGGAGACCTAGACTTGAGGTTTTGAGGGACCTATTTTGGTCGGATTTTGGTACTTTTGATATATATATATGAACTCTTGGGGAGATAAGGTATCCATTTATGTGAATTTTATTGAATTCCGAGATGTGGGCCCGGGGTCGGGTTTGGTAATTTCGGGATTTATATTGTATATTGATTATTTTCGCTTGGGCTTCGTTCCCTTAGCATATTTTGATGCCATGATTCTGATTTTGGATAGATTTGACGCGAATGGAGGCCGATTCGAGGGGCAAAGGCGTCGCGGACTAGAGATTTGATTGAATTGAGGTGAGTAACGATTGTAAATGATGTTCTGAGTGTATGAAACCTGGATTACACATCGTTGTGCTATATTGAGGTGACGCACACGCTTGATGACGAGCGTGGGGTCGTGCACTGTTGGGGATTGTAACTTAGTCCGTCATAAATGACTATTTTACCGTGTATTTGACTGAAATCTATTTGTTATCATTATTATTTGGGCTGAATGTCATATTTGGACCTCGTGCCAACTATTTGAACCTTTCGGGGATTTTTATTGATATTTTCTCACCTGTTTTGATTTTATATTTGAACTCAGTCATGTTATATTTCGTTGTTTTCATACTCAGCCATGTTTACTATGTTTTAACACTTAAATGATCTTTTAAATGATAATTGGGCTAAAAATCATGTTTTACTACTGCCGAGTGGCTTGTGAGGATTGTTAACTGAGTAAGGCTGAGGGCCTATGTTGTGAGGAAACACTGATCATGATTTGAGGTCGAGGGCCTAAGATATGTACGCCACGAGGTAGCTTGTTGATATGAGGTCGAGAGCCTAGTGATGACGCCACGAAATGGCTTGATATTGCGCTTGGGTCGTAAGGGGCCCCTCCAGGAGTCTGCACACCCCCGGTGAGCGCGGGTACCCATTGTGATGTGAGATATAGCCCAAGGGGCTGGTAATATTGTGAGATATTGCCCAAGGGGCGGATTTGTTGATATTGTGCCCGAGGGGCGAACCTTTATGTGCTTATCTTTCTTAATTGCCGGTCATTATCTGTTTAATTGTTCAAAAGGTATTTCCGAAGTTTAAACTGAACTTAAATGATTATTTGTCTCTTTACTAATTCACAGTGTTTAATGGTTTTACTACTTCATTATAGCATGTATTGTGCCTTACGTGATTTCCTGCTTCAGTCTTTATTTATGATTATTACTCACTGAGTTGGATACTCACTTTACTCCTTACATCCCGTGTGCAGATTCTGGCGTTGTGGATCCTGCCAGTGCAAGTTGAGAGCTCCCGGCAGATTTCGGAGTCCACAAGGTAGCTGCTTGGCGTCCGCAGTCCCGTGTTTCTCCCCCTTTATCTTATTTCTTTCTCTTTCAGTGATTCTATAATAGCTTTGTAGACACTTCAGACTTGTAGTATATTGATAAATGCTCATGACTGGTGACACCCGATATCGGGTTGTGTGGGTTGTATTCCGCAAATTATGCTATTATCTGCTACTTTGAGATTTTACTTATTATGCTTTAGACTTATTTCTTATGGTTTAACTATTAAAAATTGAAATAGAAAGTGTCAGTTGGCCTTGTCTTCGCAAGAGGCGTCATCATGATCGGGTCTGGATTTAGGGTCGTGATAGAAATAAGCAGACCTCCAATTCATCCAGATTAATATTTGAGCTCATTGTTGTCCTTGTTGAAGGGGTAAACCCTGCTTTTGTCATTTGTTCCTTGAAAAAGCGAAGTTTACGTGTTATTTCTCCACATCTTTTAATCTACAGAAGTAAATACATACATAAGTTAAATGTGAATATGTAAATAGATAGTGAATAGTATTGGTGCAAAGTTTATCGAAACCATGATGCTAGTGGTACTCAAACTTATTAGAACTGGGTAGAGAATGTTTAGGAAACTGAATATTTCAAATTGATGAAGTAGAAAGGCAGTGCTGATGAAAAGTCTGGTCAGTTTGAACTACTTCATTTAGACATTCAGATATTACACAATGAAGCATAGAAAAAGGAAGAACACATTTGAACAATTTATCTTAATCTCCTATATGATACAAAAGAGAAGGCAAAAGCTTTTAAGCCTTTTTTGAAATAAAACTCCACCTAACACTTTCTGTTAGTGTTTGTTTGCATATTGTTTGCCAGTATGCAAACAAATGACTCACATGATGAACGGACATTGGGTTAATGATGCCTCCGCTGAATTAAATGTACATGTGACACTTTTATCTTTATTATATTTATTCCTATAATATGAGTTTATAGAAATAAATATAGAAAGTTAAAGCCTGTATAAATTTTTTGTAGGATAAGGTGAACGAATATATTGCTGAACAAATCCAAAAATTGAAGAGGATACTGATTTGGACCCCATTATTAATGTTGCATTTGTGGTTCAAATGAGGCAAGTCGTTCAAGACTTATGGATAACATCACGGTAAGAAACTTTGTCTAACTCTTGTAAAAATAAATTCGTTGGTTGATATTGTTCAATATCATGTTTATATTATAGTTTTCAGTTATAATTTATTTAGTTCTCTGTCATCTGAGTTCAAAATCACCAAATTGAGATATTATGACCATAACATGTTATGTTTTCCGTGCTCTTTTATGCGAGATGTGCAACAATGGATGCTAAGGTAAATAGAAATACAACAAGGTATAACGATATTATTTTTTGAACAGTCCCCTAGCCTTTACAAATTACAATTGTGCATTGTAATCACTACAACCGAGAAAGATCATAGTTTTGCTTAATAGTTTGATAAAGAAAAAAATTGGAGTGCCTTGAAAGTTACTTGGAATTGTTATTTGTCCTGGTCCTGGTACTGAAAAATTGATTACTCAGGCATGTATAGTACATGGTAGGATTTCTATAGTAGGTAGTTAGCTTTCCTCTTTTATGTTACATGGTGCAAGTTCTTACTTGATAATTTCTTAGCTTTAGCTTTGGTTATAAGAATCTTTTTATATCATTCATTGGTACCCAAATATTTCTTTTTTTTGATCTGTACTTGTGTACTTTATAATTTTCTTTTATAAAAAATATAATTATAATCTATCTTCTTTTGCAGGATGAGGATGAATAAACCAACATAGGTGACAATATGGTTCATCTAATGCTCAAGCTACTCGAAGAAGATTTACTTTTGTGTTGTTATTAGATTAGAAATTATGACCCTGTAGATGCTCTTGTTTTTTGTAAAGTAAGAACATGTGTTTTAGTAGTATTTAGGTTTTGAAAGTATGTAAATACTTAGTGCATCAGTTGTATTGACATTTGCAAATATATATCATATATTAATTTTTATATATATTTGTGATAATTTAAAAGAAAATGTGATTTGTGTATGTAGCAACTACACATTTATTATTGCTAGCTGTACAACAGAAAATATAATATTGTTGGAAAAAAGTGATTTGTGCCCACAACAATACTTGTTGCGAAAAGCCCTTATAACAGATTATTAACTACTCTCCTATTAATTTTTGCCACAAGTAGTGTTGTTGCAAAAATAATAATAATTTATCACAACAATAATTTTTATTGCTAAATATTTTTATAAGCCACAAGTGTATAATCAAAATATAATTTATGGCAATATTTCTTGTTGCGTTAAGTCAGTTTTTGGCAATGACAATTTTGTTGTTGCAAAAACTTTTTCCATCAGCATTTATTGCAACGGCATGCAACAATTTTTTTGTTGTTGCCAAAAGTACTTTTCGCAAAAATATCCAATATATGGCAATGAAAAATTTTGTTGCAAATCTCACACTTTCTTGTAGTGGTAATAGGATGCTTAGGTTATGTCTCCACTCTATCCAAGCAGGATATGTTCAGTCCCAGGGCCATTAAGTCAGTCCTACTTGGCTATGGTGTTTTTCAAAAGGGCTATAAACTTTATGATCTTGAGACACACAAAAATTATTGTTGCGATAAATTATTAGATGGACATAAAGGGAAAACTGNGCTTCTCTCAGATCCATTATTTAGCAACATATACATATAATGTACACACACAGAAGTACTTAGAGATACACACACATAGAGGAAAGTTATCTGGTGTTCTTTACATTTTTGTATACCTTTTATTTCTACCATCAACATTTAGCTTTAAAGTCAATAACCTTAGATGGACATAAAGGGAAAAGGGAAAACTTGTAACAGTTTGCAGTAGCCTTCCCAAGAATTGGAGCATGTAATTGTAATCTTCCTGTAATGATCATTTCAACATTAATCAAGTAATTACTTAACCAGCCTACTAAGACAAACAAACCAATGTGTGTTTAATTACTTAACAGACTCACTAAGATGGATTCTGATGCCAGGTTATTTCCTTAGATGGTTGTCCTTGCTTTATTTTTATATCATGAAAAGTTCTCTGTGTGACTTTTAAGTTAAAGACCATGAAAATTCAAAACTCTATTCCATGCAAACCTCAACTCAAAAATTCAGAACTCTATTTCATGCTCAATGTCTTAGCCTACAAGATTTTATAGTTCACAAACATGACTACTATCATATGCTTTTTCGATATTTTGCCTACATCCAAAGCTGTAATTTTCTTGTCTTCAGCTTCTTGTCTTTCTTCTTTTAATTTCTAATTTGAACATCATTTTTTCTTGCTCTTTTTGTTCTTCTTCAGAATTGTAATATGGCAAGGTCATAGCTTGAATTGAATCATAGAAATGCAAATGCTAGAAGAGCATGAATTATGTAATTACTTGTAACTATATCCAAATAATTTTCCAAACTCACCTTTAATAAATTTAACATCACACTCGTGTTACCTTCGACACCATAACAGGTGGGAAAAGTAAGATGACTCAGAATTTCTTACTCCATAAGGATTAATGATACAAGACCATCTAATAAAATAAGGAATAAACAAAAGAGTCAAAGAATTGTGTAAGCTAAATAACCACATATGTACCAATAACATTAAGCTGAAAATACTAACATGAAGTTAGATTATGCCAGCAGTGGAAGGGAATTGAGGACATATGCATTTTTTTTTCACTGAAATACCATTAAGAAAATGGTGTTTTCTAAATAGAACAGAATTAACAAACAAGCAAATTGTGCACTACGAAGGTGAGACAGAAGCAACAACATCATGATATTTTAGAAATAAAAGATAAATCAACTTGCACTTTGATCAGTTTATGGTTTTTAGCAGCCTTAGTAGATTCCTGTTTACTAGGAGTCAGGGAAGTATTAATGTCTAAGACAGAGTATGTGTTCTTCTTTAAAAATTAAAAATTACAAGGCGAATCGATTCATCTGTGATTGGATTAAAAAAATTCTTTCACACTCTCTCAGTTGTTAACAGAGTGTAAGGGAATGAGGTACTAATTGTCTAAGATTTTTCTTTTCTCAAAAAAAAATAATATAAATACTTAGTAAAATAATGATTCTTCCCAAAGTTGAAAATCATCTACAATTGTAAATTAATTGTATTACAACCAGAATTTAGTAATAATTTAATGCATCTAACAATTAATCCAAAATTTACTTTACTTTGGATTAAATGAATAGCCATATACATGAATAAACTATTAAAATAACCAAAATTGGACAGGGGACATAAAGCAAACTTTTCATGACCAAATAGATCCAATACCACAAATAACAAACAATAGATAAACTTCTCATTAAATTGGTATTTAAAACTAGAAGTGTGAAACTGTTGACCTTCAATTCAATCTCTTATCACAAAATCCTTCGAGGAAATAATATCACATTCATATTGTGCCAACAATAGAAAAAAGTCCATTAAAAAAAGGAACAAGAATCTGGACAAATTTAAAACAAAAATCTTATGCAAGGAACAAGAATCTGGACAACAATAAAACAAAAAACTTATGCAAAGTTTCTTTCTGAAGCATATAGAATTATAGGAGAAAAAAGCACAAGTCCTACTCTGGCGTAGAAGAATTTAAGATGACCATACCCAATTAAGTACTTCACTGATAAAAGACAATAACAGAAATTGTTATTTCCATAATTTAGTGTAGCAGAAATCGGGTAAAGCAATTAAAGATAGAGTTCTTACCGTTCTTCTCCGATCAGCAACAACAGGTCTTCTGACTGTTCTTCTTCGATCAGCAGTAGCAGGACGCAACAGGGGAGGAACTCTTTGAATTAGAACTGATTAAAAATATCCTAGCAAGAATAGTTACTAGAGTCTAGAGAGTAGGCTAAAAATCTGGGAAAAGTAATTAAAAGGCTTTTGGTTTGCCGCGTTTGATTTTGGCGAAATATTGAAAAGATTTAGGCCACAATCCACACATCTCGTTGGCAATTTAATGTGTATTGCCAACAAAAATACTTTATTATTGCCCATTCTGTTTATAATCTAATTTTATTATGATAAAATTTTTATTTTTTGCAACAACTAAAATTAGTTATTGTCATTTATTACAATTCGGCAACAATAATATAATTGTTGCTAGAACGTTGTTGCCAATTTTAAAATTTAAAATTTATTATCTAAATCATAGCATATGGTAACAAAATTAACATGTTTGTCAACAAGAAAATTTTGGGGTCAAAAAATCTATGCTATAGCAACAATTTTATCGAATTGTTGCCATTTATCAATTTTAGCCAACAATATTTTAGTTGTTGCTAAAACATTGTTGCAAATTCTATACTTTCTTGTAGTGGATATTGTCTTCAATGAGTCCATTTTCCCATTCAAGACTACACAAAGCAATATTGAGATGTCCTTCCCAGAGACAGTTAATACTTACCCATTATCTATAGATAATGACACTATTCATGTCCATCCTGACACAGTTGCTGCAAATTCACATGATGATGCTGGTCATTCTGCTCTAGTTGCTTCCACTTCACATGATGACGCTGGTCAGCTGTCCACAGAAGCCACAGAGCCTCTTCATTCCTCTAATATTGAGGCAATACTTCCTGATTCAGTTCCTACTTCACAATTATCTTCACAAGAGGTTGTACCAGCACCAACTACAGAGCTTAACAAATCTACCAGAACTTCCAAACCTCCCATGTGGATGAAAGATTTTGTTATTTCTGTCAAGTCTCAGACTGCTCAGACTTGCTCTCATCCTATCTCTGTTGTCATTTCTTATGATTCACTGTCACCTACTTACCAAAGTTTTCTTACCAGATTTTCAGCAGAAGTTGAACCCACAACTTATGCTCAGGCAGCTAAGAATCCTCGCTGGGTTGAGGCTATACAACTTGAAATCAAGGCTTTAGAGGATAATAACACCTGGAAAGTGGTTCCTTTACCAGAAGGCAAAAAGGCAATCGGATGCAAGTGGGTATATAAAATCAAATACAAAGCTACTGGGGAAGTTGAAAGATTTAAGGCTCGATTAGTCGCTAAAGGTTACAACCAGCTAGAGGGTCTTTATTACCAAGAGACATTCTCACCTGTTGTTAAAATGGTGACTATACGAGCTGTTATTTCTACAGTTGTTGTCAAGCATTGGACTATCCATCAAATGGATGTCTACAATGCTTTCTTGCGAGGGGATCTTCACGAGGAGGTGTATATGAGTTTGCCACAAGGATTCAAGTCCTCTGTTGGGAAGCAAACTGCATGTCGACTTCTTAAATCTCTATATGGCCTTAAACAAGTTTCACGGCAATGGAATTTGAAGCTTACCACTGCCTTGCTCTCTTTTGGATTCATTCAGAGCCATTTAGATTATTCTCTTTTTACCAGGAGGTCGTGTGGGAAGACCATTGTGATTTTAGTCTACGTCGATGATCTCCTCATCACAGATGATGATTTAAGTTTGATAAGAGAAACCAAAAACAAGCTGCAGCAGAGTTTCAAAATAAAAGATCTAGGGGAACTCAAATACTTTCTTGGCATTGAATTTTCTCGAAGTAAAGAAGGTATCCTTATGCACCAAAGGAAATACGCCTTAGATCTCATCTCCGATATGGGACTAGCTGGAGCAAAATGTGTGGGTGCTCCTTTAGAACTTAGTCACAAGCTCACGTCTTCTGAATTTGACAAACATGTTGGTGATACTTTTGATGCTTTGCTAGGTAATCCCAGCATATATCAACGCTTGTTGGGTAGGCTTTTTGTACCTCACCATTACTAGGCCAGACATTGCCTACTGTGATGACCAAAAAAGGTCATCACTTGTTTTTAAAATAAATTCTGCATTTCGAGGCCTTAAAAATCTCTTTTAGCATCACCTAGATTTGTGTGCGCATTCCGGGTGCGTAACCAGAAAGCCTATATATGAAAATCTGTGAAAAATAATAAATTTTGACTATAAAATAAATTAATTTGACTTTGGTCAATGTCTTAGGTAAACGGACCCGAACCCGTGATTTGACGGTCCTGGAGGATCCGTAGGAAAATATGGTACTTGGGCGTATGCCCGAAATCGAATTCCGAGGTCCCAAGCCCGAGAAATAAATTTTTAAAGAAAATTATTTTCTAAAATTGTTTAAAGGATTTGGAAATGAATTTTGATTAGAACATGTTGGTATTGGGCCCGTATTTTGGTTTCGGTGCCTGGTACAGGTCTTATATGTGATTTAAGATAATTCTATGAAGTTTGGTAAGAAAAGGAATCCGTTTGACGTGATTCGGACCTTAAATGCAAAATTTGATGTTTAAAGAAGTTTTGGGAAAGTTTTATTGATTTTGAGGTTTAATTCATAGTTGTTGATGTTATTTTAGTGATTTGAATGCACGAGCGAGTCCGTATGATGTTTTTAGGGTGGTGTGCATGTTTGGTTTGGAGCCCCGAGGGCTCGGGTGAGTTTTGAATAGGCCGCGGGGTAAAATTTTAGACTTAAGGAATTGCAGGCCTGTAGGCTTCGCATTTCCCAACCTCTCTTTGCAATTCCCAGTTTGCATTTCCCAACCTCCCTTCACAATTCCCATTTCACATTTCCCAACCTCCCTTCGCAATTCCTAGTTCGCATTTCTCAACCTTCCTTCGCAATTTCCAGTTCGCATTTCCCAACTTCCCTTCGCAACTCCCAAGCCAGCAGAGGTCGGGGTTCGCAATTCCCATACCTGAGACCTGCAACTTTTATACTTAAACGATTTTAAACCCATTTTTCATATCCTCTCAAAACATAAACACACTAGAGTGATTTTTCAAAGGCTTCTTTTTCTCCAAATCAATTATAAGTCGTTTTTAACTAGTTTTCTTCAATCATTAACATCTTTCAACATGATTTCAACTTAAAATCAATGATTTTCATGGGGAAAATTGAGTGTTTTGGGTAGAACCTAGGTTTTTCAAAAATAAGGGATTTGGACCTCGATTTGAGGTCCGATTTCAAAACAAATTATATATTTGGGTTCATGGGGGAATGGGTAATCGGGTTTTGGTTCGAACCTCGGGTTTCGACGATATGGATCCGGGGGCATTTTTTTACTTTTTGAGTAAAACTTTAGAAAAACTCATTTTCATGCATTGGGGTTGATTCATTTTGCGTTTATTGATGTAATTAAGTAACTTATGGCTAGATTGGAGCGAATTGGTGGTAGAATCAAGGGGTAAAGCTATAATTGAATCGTGAATTGTGTTCGAGGCATCGAGGTAAGTATTTGGTCTAACCTTAGCTTTAGGGATTAGGAGTTGTGTCTTATTTGCTACATGGTAATTGTGGAGTACGACTTATAGGCATGGTGACGAGTATCTATACGTTGGTGTCAAGCATGCCCGTGAGTCTTGTATTATAATTGTTATGACTCCGTTGTGGTTTATTGCGCTTCATATGTTATTATCACCATTGTTCCCTTGCCGGAATATTTGTTTGATATTAATGATACCTTACCGGGATGTTTGTTTTGATATTATTGTTCCCTTGTCGGGATGTTTGTTTTGATATTATTGTTCCCTTGCTGGGATGTTTGTTTTGATATTATTGTTCCCTTGTCAGGATGTTGTTGAAATATCATTGTTCCCTTGCCGGAAAGTTGTTATATTGCTCTTGTTCCCTTGCCGGGATTCCTTGTGATTATTGTTGGCTTGTAACTAGGAACGGGTGGTACGCCTACCACAAGATATAAGGAAATAGGAGCGGGTGTATACCTACCACAAGATATAATGAAATAGAAGCGGGTGGTACGCCTACCACAAGATATAATGAAACGAGAGCGGGTGGTACTCCTACCACAAAATATAATAAAATGGGAGGGGGTGGTATGCCTACCACAAGATATAATGAAATAGGAGCGGGTGGTACGCCTACCACGAGATATAATAAATAAAATGGGAGCGGGTGGCACACCTGCCACGAGGTACATGAAATAGGAGCGGGTGGCACGTCTGCCACGAGATACAGAAAATGGGATCGGGTTGCACGCCTACAACAAGATGTGAAAAGAAAGTGAAATCTGCCTTTGTTTTCCTTATTCTTGTTAGTGGTTGGATTTTGATTCCTTTATAGTTCTCTTGATATTCTGTTTTTACCTGTTATTCCCTGAAGCATGTTTCCCCCTCCCTGCTTTACCTGCTTTACTTTTCGCTGTATATTATATAACTACACAGGTTTATTTGGTGGTCTGGTCCTAGCCTCGTCACTACTTCGTCGAGGTTAGGCTAGACACTTACCAGCACATGGGGTCAGTTGTGCCGATACTATACTCTGCACTATGAGCAGATCCCGGAGCAGCTCTTGGACCGTAGTTGGAGGCTACCTTCTGTCACACCTCCTTTTTGCGCGCCCGCCCTCGAAGGGTTAAAATGCACGGGTGGAGTTTTTCCAATTTAAGTGACAATATTCGAAATGGGATTATTTATTTAA